TCCCAGGAATAAAAACTTGCATCTGGATGACCAAGCTGGGGCCAGCGAGAGCCTCAGCTAGATGACTCGTAGCCCAGCAGGGCCCGTGGATTCCGAGCTGATGCTCTCATTTTGCTTGATGGTAACACACGATCTCCATGGCTCAGGCTGGAGAAGCTGCAACGTCCTCACACTAACGGCGTGTGGCTGGAATAGAGGCGTTCGCTGAAAATGCTGGTCGCCACCGTTGCCACTAATGCAGGCCAGGCACTGGGCTGCTCTCTTTACATAAATTACCCCTTACTGGCCCTTCTCATCTCCTAGATGAGGAAACTGAGACTCAGAGAAGGAAAGGAACCTGCCCAAGTTCAGATTCCTGATACGCAATGGAGACAAGAAACAAGCCACAGCTGTTGGGCTCCAGAGCTGATTGTTCATCACATCTGTGCTGGGCAAAATACTGACCACTGTCCCTAAATAAAGGCCACTCCCACTTTTGAATATAACAATAATAGCTTTCACTTGTAGTACTTTCCATGTGCAAATCACATTCACATCTGAAATCTCCCCGAATTGTCAAAAGAGTCCCGAAAGGTAGGCATGGCTGTCCTCGCCATTTGGCACATGAGCTCGCTGATGCTCAGGGAAGCTAAATGATGTGTCCAAGATTCCAGGATTTAGGAACACAGGCTTGGGAACCAGATAAATTTGGGTCCAAACCCTGACTCTGCCAGTTTCATTTCTTCGACAAATATTTACTGAGCACATGGCTGTGTGAGCTCAGGCACTGACTTCACCTCCCACAGCCTCCATTCCCTCCTCTGTGACACAGTCTGAATCCCACTCATCAAATCCATTCCCTCCATCATCTGAAAAGGCCAGATGACGGCTTTCTCAGGTTCCCCTATAGCTACAACATGTGACGTGATTCTGGCCAATGGGATTTAAAAGGAGTCTGCTAGGTTGCTCCTGGGAAAGGGTTATCTCTCAGAAAAAGAAAAAAGTGAGGCATAGGAGGAAATGCCTCTTTTCATGGGTTGGACATAATTGTGTCTATATCTGAGGGCTGGGACTGGGCAGCCATCTTGTGATATGAGGCATCAAGCTTGAGGACCAAGCCACCTACAGGGGCTGGAAGAGCAGAGAGATGAAAAGATTCTAGAATCCTGATGGCATCATTGAGCCACTGACACAACCTAAAACCAACTACCTTGGAACTTCATGTTATGTGAGGTGATGCATCTTTGTCCTTACTGAAGTTGCTTTGAGTTTTCTATCCTGCTACTTGCAGCCCAAAGCATCCCCAACTGGCACAGTACCTGTTGGAGAGGGATTTCCACAAGGTAGAAGATATAAAGTCCCACTAATGCTTGGCACAGTAAACAACGGCCACTCTAGAAATGAGAAAGTTATCTCAGGGCTTTAACCCTGAGACTATTCCAGGGAATGCAGACACTCCTGGCCTGGCAAATCAGTTCCCCCTCAATTTTGCTGAGAAAAGCCTGTAGGGTTTTCCGAGAAAGCAGAAACCCCAGCACTGCAGCCCTGTTAGCCCGATGGGGCTGACCCCATCTTCTAAACAAGAATCAATCACACTGCCTTTGCCTAATGGATTTTGATTTTCACTCCCTTGACGGGGAAGCCTAGGGCCTGTGCTTTGGTTCCTCTCCGAGTTGCCAGAACATCCCCATCAATTATTAACAGCGTTGGCTCAGCCTCCCGGGCGCTGCTATTGGGTGTGCAGCGACGCAGCCCCCTGCAGCCCCCGGCCCCAGAAAAAGGACTCTGCTCGTTACTGTTTACAACAACACATGCTAGGCACAGAGTGCAATTTTTTGATAAACATGATTTAATGACAACGCTGAGAAGTGGGCCTTTTATCTCCATTTTACAGGTGGAGGGCTGGGACTTGGAAAGGTGAAAAAATTGCCTAAGGCCAAAATCCAGGGAAGTGGTGGGGCTGGGCAGGACCCGGTCAGTCCCTGCTCTTAGCACATGAGACATGGCTATTTGGGCACCTCCCAACCCCCTAGAAGTGAGCCCCCATTCGGTCCTGTCACTCTGTGGACTGAGAAATTCCCACGGGCCTCACCCGTTTCCACAAGCAACGTGTCCCAGCCGGGGCTGGGTAGAGACGGGGCAGGCAAAGTGACAGCTGAAGGAGGGCAGCGGCACAGGGCACTGGGTTGCAGGTGGGCAGTGGGAAAGAGTGACAGGTCCCCAAACCCTGAGACACAGTGACTGCTTGCTTCATTCATTCATTCACCCCACACGCAGTTATTTGAAGCTCCTCTGTGCCAGGCACCACGATGGGTGCTGAGAACAGAGCAGTGAATTCGTGGTGTTCATATTCTTGTGGGTTTGAAACAGAGAAATACGAGGAAGAAATGTCACTTCAGATGGTGCTTAAGGCCCATGTGGGAAGGACACTGCAGGATGTGACAGAGAGTGAAGGGAGGGAGGCTGTCCTAGACAAGGGTCAAGGAAAGTCTCTCTGAGCAGGGGACTTGTGAGCAGGGACCTGCTCAAATGAGGAATGAGGGGAAGGGGCTGGCCAGGGGACGCTCTGGGTAAGACCATGCCAGGCAGTGGGAATAGCAAGTGCAAAGGTCCTGGGGTAGGATAAATCCTGGCTTGTTTAGGGACCGGCAGGAGGCCAATGGGACCAGAACCAAGTGAACCAGAAGACAGTGACAGAGATGAGCTCAGAGAGGTCATGGGAACAGATTCTATAGGGCCTCATCTGCCAGGATGACAAGTCTAGATTTTATTCTGAGTGTGATAGGAAACTTCTGGAGGATTTTAAGCAGATGAATAATGTGATCCAATTTGCATTTTGAAAAGCTGACTGTGGCTGCCATGTGGGAATGGATTGCAGGGCAAAAGAGGAGGCAGGAGGACCAGGGAAGAGGCTGCAGCACTTGCTCATTGTGGAGAGAAGTCAGCTGGAATTCCTGGCTGCTGCTTGCCTGCTGTGTGGTCTTAGGCAAGTTAGTAAACCCCTTTGAGCCTCACTATTGGTGAAAAGTGAGATAATAACAGAGTAGCGTTGTTAGACTCTGTACACAGTAGGTGTTTGATCAACAGCAGCCAGGGTCTCTATACCGAGGGCCAACGAGCCTGCCTGCCTCCCCGTTTCAGCTCTGGCTGCACAAAATCCTAGATGGTCCATCTGCCAGGAATGTGAGCCGGCAGCCCCCGCCTGGGATCACAGAGAGGTCATGAGGCTCGTCCCAGCAAGCAGATTAACCCAAGGGAGAGGAAAGGCTCTTCGTTCCCAAACGTCGCCTCTTGCACGCCCCAGCGCCTGTGCCCGGCGGCCAGATGCCAACCCAAACATGGCCCTTTGCCTGCTGCTTCCCCGGGAGGGCAAACCCTCTCGTCTCCTGCCCTTGCTCTCAGGTCTTAGGGACAAGACAGGAAGGGAGAGTCATGTTTGGGCCTAAATGGGTTGGAGAGGGGGAACCTGTGTCAGGCCTGGAAATAGCAAAATAAGTCTGTTGATCCTAAGCTGATTAAGGGTGAGTGACTGTGTCTTAGGAGGGAGGCTTTTTGGACACGAAATCGGGGGCAGGATTATGGAGAGAGGCAGCCCACAGCCTCAGAGGAGGAAGCTGGGCCCAGGAACCTCTACGTCCTAGTTAGGGTGGGCAGAGAAGAGGAAAACCATGTGGGGCTCCCTCCACCCTGCTACCGGCCACCCCTTCTGCAGCCAGTCTCAGGGGCCTCTCTTTGGGCAGCTAGACCTGGGGGAGGACCCCACAGTCCCCTTCAGACTGGGACCTGCAGGGGGGCCTTTAGTGAGAACTGAGCCACAGAGACCCCACAATGAGAGTCTGGGCCTGGACAGGAGCCAGCGTGGCTATTTAATTATGGATGGAGATGTCGACTTCCTCTTCCCTGTTTCTTTATGCCACAGATGTATGTACCTGGCCCCTTTTTAGGCCCCACTCTCAGAGGGTGAGTTACCTGCTCCCAACCTGTGTTTCCCAAATTGGTCTTGCTGGATCTCGACATCAACAACTCTCGTTCATGGGCTCCCCTTGGGCCTCACGAGATCGAGTCGCTAGCCCTTATCACACTGTTCTCATCCGCTCCGACACCCAGCACACTGGCCTCGTGAAGCCAGGCCCCATCTCTCCCAAGCAACACAGAGAGGGTTCTCATCAACCAGTGACCCCCTGCCCTGCCCCGGCCCCACCGCAAGCCCCTTTCGGTCCCTCACAGCCTCGGCCTCCACCCAGCAGCACGCAGGACTCCCGGCCCACCCCGTGTGACCAAGCGCATTCCTGCCTCCTCCTCCTCCTCTGTTTTTCACATTGCCTCATTTTTCATATTTCGAAATTTACATCCTCTTCCAACAGCATCTTTGCAAGCTGCACCAAACCATTCTTGAAATAAACTCACCCAATAAATACCTACGTAACCAGGGGTGACCTCTAGCCCACAGGCGCCCACAGCTGATTGCCTGTGTCACCCACACACACACCCACCCCAGAGTGCCTCCGCCTTGTTTTTCTCTCTGAGGTTGAAACTACCTGGCAGTATCTCAACATCCTCCAAGCATGTCTGTAAGTTGCTTCCATTCCCTTCCCGGGGCAGGGTGGGGTTATCAATGTGGAGGTATGTATCAAAATCACAGGGCAACCCCCTCCAGCCTGGGTCTGGGACTTCCCAGGGAACCAAACTCTCCTCCACCCCAGAGGGCCTCTAGTGTCTCTCTGTGCCCTCTCTCATTTCTCCGTGTCCATCCTCTTGTCCTGGCCTTTTGTGCGTCCCTATAAATCCTTGTCCTCAACCAAGTAGGTGTATAAAGTATCGGACAAAAAGAAAAACAGATGGAAATGCCACCTAGGAAACTCTGAGGGGTTGGTCCTCAGCCCTGGGAGCTCAGCCCTGGCCCCTCCCCCTCACTGATTTTCATCGTTGGGATAAGCCAGCGTCCCCCAGCCGCGATTCTCGCCGTGGGGACACACACAGACAGATCCCCCGAGCCCAGCAGCCCCAGATCGCAGACTCACCTTGGCAGCCACGGAGGAATTGGGCTTCTCCAGTAGGTCCCAGAGTTTCTTCCTCTTCTCTGCGCAGCACGTGTTGTCGAACTCCTCGCCCTCCCGCTCCCGCAGGGTCTCGGCCTCACGCTTGAGCTCCTCGTTCATCTGCTCCTTCTTCTGGTGGTAGCGGGCCTGGCAGCAAGACTCCAGGTAGATCTCGTCGATGCCCCAGTAGTCGAGCTCTTGGCTGAAGCTGAGCGCGCACATCTCCTCCATCATGTGCAGCCTCCCGGTGCGGTAGAAGTTGAGGATGGAGGTGAAGGCGCCCGGGTGGCGGTCAAAGAAGTACTCGTTGTCGTCGAGGCTGTAGTCGTCGCACACCTCGAGGAGTGAGTCGTGCGTGTTGCAGTCGCGGAGCTTGCCCAGCCGCGTGCGGGGCAGGCGGTCCAGGGTGCGCCAGAGCACCTCGTGCGCCAGCCCCCCGACGTTGAGGCGGACGCGCCGGGAGCACGCCTTGCTGCGCACGATCTCCATGGGCTCGGGCGGCAGCGAGCTGGTGGAGCGCGAGCCATGCTTCGTCATGCCCGCCGGCATCGCTGGTCCGGCCGCCCCCGCCCCCCCTGCCCCCCCAGGCCGCTGTCACTCCACGGCAAGGCCCGCTGCTGCGGGGGAGGGGGGCAGGGAGCGCTATGGGCTGCTGGGGGTGCAGGGGACCGCGCGGGCGCGCGTCACGGCCGTCTTCTCACCTCCATCCCGACGGCTGCGAGGCAGAAAGCGAAAGTGGACGCGGGTCAGCGAGCGAGGAGTTGGGCATGGCTGCTCCCTACCTCTCCACCAGGGTCCCAGCTGGCCTTGACCTTCCCCGCGCTTAAGCGGCTCAGTGCAATAGGATGGCTGGGTGCTGTCCCTCCAGCCGGTGCTGAAGTCCGCCCCACCCCACGGACGGAGGGAGGGGCCGCCTTCGGGGCGGGGAGACGGCCCCAGGAGATGCCCCTGGCGTCCCGGAGGCCCCACCCCCGGCTTCCGCGGCCCAGGCGCGACCCAACCGCCCGGGGCGCTGTCCGCCCCCTCGAGTGCTGAAACTGTCTTCTCCGCGGGTCTCCCCGTCGAGTCCCGCAATGGGGAGAGAGGGGCGCTGCATGAAAAACTTTCTGTCTTTCGTTTTTAAAATAAGTTCTCACCTTTCCCTTCCCAGCTCGAGATTATCAGGATTTGGGGTTTAGGGAGATGGTAGCGGGTTTGATTTTTCTAAATCTTAAAATATTTGGGGGTTTCTGGGGGTTCCAAGTGCCCACCTGTCAAAGGTCACAACAGACGGGGTATTCTCGACAGCCCCTCTGTCCTGGAACGACCCCTCGCCGCCAGAGCATCTCCAGAGGTTGCTCCAGCGCGGAGGTGGCCGCGAAGACGAAAAGCCAAGCTCTGCCCGGGGTCCTGCCCCTCCCCCTGCGCCCCCTACCCTACCGCAGGAGGGGCGCGCAGACAACTCGGGATCCGCCTGCTCCGTCCTCCCCTCGCTCCTTCCCCGCCCCCTTCTCCTCCTCCTCCTCCTCCCCTCCTCCTGCTCCTCCTCGTTCCTCTCCTGCGATGGCTTTTTATAACTCCGGGTTCTGCGCCTTTCCCCGGGCTTGGAAGGGAAGGGGTGGGGGAGGTGGGAGGCGGGGAAACGAGCTGAATTTTCTGGCCTTTTCAAAACGTGCCCTCCTCCTGCCGCGCACTGCTGGTTTTGGGGGTTTCCCCCTGAGCCCCCTGGCATGTGGGGCTCACATCCTCGCCCCAGACTGGGGATCGCGCGTCTCCCAGGCCCCAGCGGGTGCCCGCCTCCCCCCACCCCGACTGAAGCCGCGGAGCCCGGCAGACCGACAGGCCGAGCTGCGGCAGACGAGCCCCCGGCCCGTGTCCGCCTGCGCCCCCACTGCGGGCCCTACGCCCCAACACTCACCCCCAGGGCGGCCGCCTCCCGGGGCCAGGGACCGCGCATCGCCCCGGCCGCCCGGCGCCCGCCGCGGGCAGCGGCGGTCCCGGGCCGGGCTGGCCCGGCCTACCCGGCCGGGCGGCGACGCGCCGGGCTGCAGGCGCCGCGGGCCGGGGCGCGCTCTCCGAGGCTGGGGGCGCGGGCAGCGCGCGGGGCAGGACCGCGATCCGGCGGCGCCTCCTCCGCCTCCTCCTCCTCCTGCTCCCGCGGCGACGGCGGCGGCGGCGGCTGCCTGGGCGAGATCAACAAGTCCGGGCTGAGCTTCGGCTCCGCGCTCGCCGCGATTCTGTCCCGCACTTCGAAGCGCCCGGAGTCGGGCACCGAGGCGGGACGGCGCCACCTGCGGGTCGGAAGCGCGCACGCTGCTTAACTCCTGCCTGCCCGGCCCAGCCTGCGGCGAGCCCGGGGGCGGGCTCCCAGCCCGGGCCTGCGCGGGGCCCCGCCGCTCGTCCCTGCGCACCTGGGCACCTCCACCGCCCGCGTCGCGACCCCGCCCTGCTCAGTCCCCTCGACGACGCGGGGCGAGCGCCCGCCGGGTGCCAGGGACGCGCAGGGATCCGAGATCCAGCTGTGAGCCCAGCACAAACATCCGGCCGCACGCAGCTGATTGGAGACAGACTATAAACAAAACAGTGAAAGAACATGTCGGGGTGATAAGCGCTGGAGGAATAATGAAGGGAGGGTTAGAGCGCTGGGGGAGGGCGGGTTGCGATTTCAAACAGCCCTTGCTCTCACGAGCTTCCATTCTAGATTCTAGATGGAATTCCACAGCCTAGCGGGGGGAGGGGACAGCGCACACATCAACAAATAAATGCGCAGTCGGGCTGGGGGTCATAGCTGCTAAGAAGAAAAACAAAGCGAGGTGAGGGGAAGAGACATCGAGGAGGAGCGAGCTAGTTGCACAGTCCAGTGATTCATTCATTCATTCATGCATTCATGTTAAGTTGGACAGCCGGTTATTGACAGCTCCCCATGTGCCCCCCAAGTGCAGGCTCAGTGGAGGAGTCCTGCCCTGGACCTCCCCGTCCAGAGCAGGAGGCTAAATCCATCAAATAATCCCAGAAAAGAATATAGAATTTACCCGGAGAGCTGGGCAAGGCTTCCCCACGGGTGCCACAGTTGGGCCCTACATTTACTCATTTATTCTTCCAGGTACTTATTTACTGCATCGCACGTAAATAGGCGCTGGGGATACAGCAATGAGGCTCCTGCATGGAGGAGAAGAACCGAACAGGACTGAGGGCTCCACAGGAAGGCCTTCCCCTCTCCGCCCTTCTCTCCACGTCCAAAATTAAGGGATTCGTTTCCATAGAGTTGCACAAAATGTTATTCCATATTTTTAACCTGTCCCCTTCTCATCACCTCCTTCATCGGGACCCTTGTCCATGGTCCTATCAGCTTGTCTCACTGCAACCTCCTCCCTGGTCCCCTGCTGCCACCCTTGCCTCCTACAGTTCATTCTCCCACAGCCACCAGGACAGCGGTTACATTTCGTGCCTGGGGTCACGTCTCTCATCTCTTTAAAACCCTCCCAGGACGTCTCCTTGTTTTAGACTAAAATCTAAACTTCTGACCTGGTGCCCTAACTCAGCCCCGCCCACCTCTCTCTTGGCTTGTACACCAGTGGAGGAACATAGGCAACTAAAAAACCAAATTTTAAAAAATGAGACAGTTTCTGGCTATGGTGAATGTTATAAAAGAAATGGAGCATCTTTGCTGGGAAGAGACCAGGCTGCTAGCTATCCACAAGGTGGTCAGGGAGGGCCTCTCAGAGGAGGTGAACAGAGACCTGGGAAATAACGAAGGACCAGCCATGGAGAGAAAGAGGGGAGGGCATTCCAGGCAGAGGGAAAGCATGCGCAAATGCCCTGTGGAGGAGAGGGCAACAGCTTTGTTTAAGGAACGGCAAGACAACCAGAGGACCTGGAACAGAGGAGGCGGGAGGGACCATGGGGGGGGGGTGGATAATGTGGGTTCCTGTGGGCCGTAGCAAAGACTTTGGCTTCTACTTTGAGCGAGGTAGATGGGAGCCACTGAGCAGAGAGTGACTTGGGTTAGACTGGCATCACGCTGGAGGATGGTTAGCAGACAGGGTGGGAGCGGGGAGAGCAGCAAGAAGGCTGTCATAGCTGTCCAGGTGACAGCCGATGGCCACTGGGTTCTGGGTGGTGGTGGTGGTGGAGGTGGGGAGAAGGGGGCAGACAGAGTGTATTTCAAAGGTAAAGCTGTCAGGAGTTTCTGATGGTCTGGATGGGGGTGTGAGAGACAGAACAGTCAGCTTCCCTCCTGCCTCGGACCGGCATTCCTAGGGTCAGAAATGGCTCTCATCTGGCCCTCTCTTAGGCTTAAGCTGCTGTAGGCAGCCTCCCCCCAGAGGTCTGGGCATTCCTGCAGGAGGCTGCCAGAAACAATAAAGCCTTCCTGACGAAAAGAAAAAAAGTGATTCTATAATGGTAACATTTCCAGGCACTACTGCAGAACACAGCCATCCAGGTACAGCTAAAAGGATGCTCAGACACGCCTCTCCTTTCTACTCCAATTAGCCAAGGAGTGGGGAACGAATGTTTACTGAGCACCTACTACAAATAGTTCTCTGAGGGTTCATAACAGATGACATTATTTACAGATGTAGAAACTGAACCTCAGAGAGAAGGAATCTTGCCCAAAGTCTTGCTGGCAAGTGGCTGGCAGAAGCAGGATAAGAATCTCTTTGTTTGACTCCAAAATCAATGGGCTATCTAAATCCTAGAGCAGCCTCTCTGCAAAGCCCTTGATCCATCAATTCATTTATTGATCTATGGAATCATTTCACATGTTTACTGAGCATCTACTATGTGCCTAGCATGGATGTCAGTGCTGGGAACTGAGGGTAAATAACTGCTATAGTCCCTGTCCTCATAGCGCTACATGCCTCTCTTGCAAGGAACAGGATGGAAAACCTGATGCTTGTTTTTCTTCCCTGTTGTTTTATTCATTTCTTCATTTCCTTTATGCCCATTCCTCTCCCATTGCCCTCTCCAGCCCATAGGAAGCAACCTCACGTGCCGACCGTATATTGTTTTGTTTGCATGAATTCATAAAACTGTGTTTGGTGTTGTGTGTGCATTTTAAAACTTAAGGGTTTGTATTATAGAATGCATTCTATTTATTTTTCCCTAAGATCCATCCGTGTTCCTGTGGGTACACCAGCACACTACTCCTAAGAGCTGCACAGTTGTCTATGTTGCTGTGTGTCCCCTCTCCACTGTCCAGCCCTGACGTGGTCACCTAGATGGCCTCCAGCTCCTACCATTGCAATGAATTCACCCATGGCATCTTCCTACATGTCTGCTTATGGGCCAATGTGATGACTTTTTAAGAAATATTTTCTAGGCCGGGCGAGGTGGCTCACACCTGTAATCCTTGTTCTCTGGGAGGCAGAGGTAGGCAGATTGCTTGAGGTCAGGAGTTCGAAACCAGCCTGAGCAAGAGCGAGACCCCGTCTCTACTAAAAATAGAAAGAAATTAATTGACCAACTAAAATTATATATACAAAAACTTAGCCAGGCACGGTGGCGCATGCCTGTAGTCCCAGCTACTTGGGAGGCTGAGGCAGGAGGATTGCTTGAGCCCAGGAGATTGAGGTTGCTGTGAGCTAGGCTGATGCCACGGCACTCACTCTAGCCTGGACAACAAAGGGAGACTCTGTCTCAAAAGAAAAAAAAAAAATATTTTCTACAGGATTGGAATTGATATGTCATTGGGTGTGTACGTACTTAATTCAACTCCGTACACCCAGATCTCCCTACAAATGTCTGCTCCGGGCTGCATCTCGCTCCTGCAGCCCCACGTCCCTGCCAACATTTGGCATCATCCAGGTATCTCAGTTTTGACAGTCTACTGCATGCAAAGTCGCATCTCAGTGTATTCACACTTGCAGTTCTCTGATTCCTAACGAGTCTGAGATCTCTTCATACGCTTGTTGTTGTCCTTGTGTGTATGTCGCCTGTAAATTGTGTGTAAATCGTCCCATTTTTCTACTGTGGCTCCTGTTTTTTCTTGATGACTTGATGGACTCCTTTGTATAATGTAGATTTTAAGTCCCTTGTGGATTTTAGACATTGCGAATATCTTCTTCCAACCTGTCACCTGTCAGTTAATTTGTCAGTTAATTTTGTCTGTGTTGTCCTTGGTTAAGCAGAAATTCTTTTAATGTGATTAAAATAATTTAGTTTTGGTAAATATGGTTTCTGCTTGTAAAGTTTTGTTTGAGTCCTCCCCCACCCCATGATGCAAACATTTTTGTTTGTTTATTTTATATTTTTATCTTTTACTTAGGTCTTTAAGCAATTGTATGTGTTTGTGTGTGTGTGTGTGTGTTATTTGGTAAAAATCCAACTTCGTTTTTTCCCTATAGTTGTTTAGTTTTCTGAAAACCATCCATGAAATAACTTGCTCTTTCTCCCACTGATCTCGATTGGCAGGTCACCTTTGTCACATGAAGTCCCCCCGCCCTCCCCACTCTGCTCCATCAGTCTGTTTGTACTCATGCTCATGTCCTGTTTTTTATTAGTGTGGCTTTGTGATGTGCTTTAGTACCTGGTAGGCCTGGTCCCTCTCCTTTGCTCTCCTTTCTAGGGCAGACTTAGCTATCTGTGGACTTTTAATCTTCTCTACAAAATTTTTAGTAAGTTTATTAAGGGGCAATTACCCTTCCCTGGCTCTCCTCTCCTACTCCTGATTACTAGTCTGCCACCCTCTCCTACCCGCAGCGCCTCTACCCAAGGAAACCCCTGCGGAATGTAGATGGGTCCCTGGAAAGAAACCTGGGGCCAATCTTTCAGTTAGCTGGAAAGCTATTTCCCCACAAACATGAGCCAGACACATATTTTGACGTTATTATGTTTCTCTATTTGTTTATTTAGCCCAGGGCGTATGTTACAATGTCTGGAGATGTTGACTGTCACAAGCCCAGGGGAGACCAGTCTACTGGTCTCCTCACTGG